GTTACTCGTCGAATGGAAAATAATAAAGGGATGCGGGGGGGCGGGCAATCGTATCATTCGGAGATGATAGAGATTCTCGTGCGAGGCAATCGTATGGCCGCAAGGGTCTTGTACGGGCTACCGATAACTCGAACCTCTAGGACGTGTGCCGTTGGTTGGTACATTCCTCCTCGGGAGGGAAGCCCGAGAGAGATTCGAGAGAACGCGTTTTACCGACATCTTTCGACCGCCTCGAATACCGCGCACCTGACTTTCCATTCGACTCGTATTCGGCGGGAATATCCACGGCTGTCAAGACCGAATCAAACGTCAAATTACAGTCGCGGCTTGCGTAAGACACGCTAATTGCGTTGACTCATTACGGACTGTTGTGCAATAATATCGCGCTTTACACATTTGCATTTTTTTTTTAATCGCGACACAGAAATTGCGTATTCTTACAATGTGCTCGCCTACTTCGTCATTTGTGTCTTGCTTCCCGTCTTTGCTTCCTCATTCGATTAAAGATTGTATCCGAAGAACAATATTTTTTCGCGACGCACAATTATCGATAAATATACGTATATGTATAATATATGTATATATAAGTATGTATACCTATATATTTACGCATAAATAATCGACAGCGCGTTTATCTCTGATCTTATGTACAATTGTAGATTACACGAAATTAAAAATAATATTTTGCGGAGACGTGTCTCCTTCTTTCTCACTGTCTCATTCATTCTCTCTCTTTCTCTCTTTCATTTCTCTCATTTTTCTGTTCACTCTGTGATTTCTCCCTCTCTGTTTTTTTTTCCTCGTTCATTACTTTCTCTTACGCAACAAGTAAAATAATATCATGTTTTCTTTTTATTTAGTGGAAAGTCGTATTATAGTCATCTTCGTACTGTAGGAACTTAAAATGGTGACTTCATTGTGATCGGAGTCTCGGAGAAAAATAAAACATTCTGTCTCATTCGTCAATCACACCGGTGCCTATGTAATATTTCTTTTTTTTATAAAAAAACTCAATCTTTTTATAAAAGCATTGCCTCTCAGGAGATTTATAAAAAGATCGAGATGTATGTTTAGAATTAGTTTATAAAATTAACAAATCTAGAAAAAAGAATTCAATTTTTTAAAAAGCATGTACTACTCATTAAACCCAACAAAAGATGTTGAAAAATCAATCCCGTCAGAAGCGAAAGCTTCTTTCGAATGAATACTACATGCGTCTATTACAAGTCTCGAACCCTCTTTTCTGACACCCCCTAGATAATGAAAATGACGCGACGTTATTTATAAAATAATCCATAAATTTATAAAATAATCTGTATTCCAACATTCGGATACAACCCTTCCTATCTTTCCATTCTTCTTTAGTGCTCTTGTATGTCTATTACGACATTTTAACGTATTTTAATGCGAATTACCATTGCATAATTAATTGATAAGAATTATAATTATTTATCATTACTTATGCGCCTAACTTTTTGACCATTTAATAGCAGCAGAACAGTACAAATGATTTTACTCAAAAATTGATTACAGACTTTCTTTCGTCTCCACCATTCTAATATATATCCATTTAATATACGTATATTGCTTAATGCTTACCTCAACATATCAACATTACAACGTAAACAAGCCAATGCATAAATTAAAGTGTCTTTAAATTTCAACTAACGTGTGTGATAAACGTAGTATCCTTTTGCGATAATAAAGTAACCAATCGATACGCGTCTCTATCCGCACCCTATGTGACAATGATAATACTCCTTTTTCTCTGTGCTTGTATGTGTTTCCTCGCTCTCTTTCTCACCCTCTCTCTTTCATGCATCTCTCTGCCTCTCTTTCCCTTTCTCGCTCTTTCTCTTTCACGCACATTAGAATCATCTCGTCTTCTCCCTCCTTTAAAGTTTTGCGCGTCGTTTTTCGCGAAAAAGGCGAAAGACGATGAACATCACAATCGGAGGTAAAGGTTCTCGCATGTTTAATATTCTAAAGGAAGGAGGGGAGGGGTCTACGAACAACGAAACGCTAATTGAGAAAAGAAACGTACCGATCGCTTCTTTTTCCAATCACCTGCAAAATAATACTGAATTCTGCACATAGTGCCTATCACAAATATATCTATATGCGTAACACTCATGTATACCTCTTGCACGCATTTTCACACGCATACGAGCAGTCATTGTCTAACTGTATGCTAAACCTTTGTGCGAGTCATCACACACAGTTAAGACGTAATCCTATGTCTCTATTTCTTCTCTCGTCAACAGAGTGAATAAAAAATTGTTAAAACCATTTTCAATGCTGTACCATCTTATACGTCTGTTGCTCGAGCGTCGTTTCGCGATTAATCATTGAAACGAAATTATCTAATAAAAACCAAAACGAGAACTGTTACACAATCGGCTGTTGAAAGAAAAAGTATTTCAAATCTAAAGAAACAAAAAAAGGAGAAAAATGCAAATTTTTCCGTCAACGTTCGGCAAATGTTGGCATTTAATTGGTCGAAAAAACGAGCGTTTCCAATTCAATTAGACATACCAATACTATCACTGATGATTTATCTAAAAGCAAACGGACAATATAAGCGTCGAAATGTGTTATATATACATTTCAATGCTCATATGCTGTTAAACAATTACGATAAAATATTTCATTAGTTACGCGATTTGTCAATGTTTATGTAAATTTGTATACTTTTAATGTGCGAAAATGTAAACTCTTAATGTGGATCAATGCATATCGATGTTCATTTATCTAACAACGTCGTGAACCATAAAAAGAAAAATGAAAGAAATAAAATATATATGTAATTCGAAAGAATGAAGAGATTCGCAAAAATAAATAATTGTAAGAGCGACGGAATCGATGGTACAGAACGCTGGAGCAGTTATAAACTCTTTTGAAACACCCTGTATATATAATATATAATATTAATAGTCAATAATAATATCAGTTTGTATTGTACAGGCTGTTCCGGGGGGTGCGGGGTCCGAAAAACATCGTGGTCTCTCCAATCTTTATTTCAAACCCTCTTCATACGCTCCCTCCGTCGTTTATGCTCTACTTAAGTTGCTATTTTATTATTATTATTTTAATATTACTATTATTATTTTCTCATAATATATCTTATCTTATTTCTTTCTAGGATTAGTAAGGAGTGTGACATAACGGAGCCTAGCATATGATTCTTATCTTTGCCATTGCTCGACATTTCTCATCTCTTTTCTTTTCTCATTTCCCTTCTTTTTTATTCTTAATCTCTTTAACGAAATAATCGTATCGTATTATAACATTATTAATAATTTACCATTACCTTTACAGTTTAATATGTAGCATTTTCTTTATCTATCGTAGATTTGTCTGTGGCTATCCCTGATGTGTTAGTTACCCTGCGCTTCCGTCTGGTTGTCGAAATATTGTTGTGAAATTGTGGTCTACGATATATATTAAGAGTTTGTGTTCAACGTTTTTGCTCCATATATATTTCTCCTTCTATCGTCTCTTGCTTCCGGATTCAAATCAGCATAATTTCGGCGAGTTTAGCTTTCGGTACTACGGGTACGCAAACGTATTTTCCTTTTTCCGTATCCGTACCATCGGATCGAACTCGCCGAACAATTATACCGCTATACCCAATGTTTAATTTTCGTTTAAGAAGCATTTCGCGTTCCGGCATGTCGCCAAGATCAGCGATCGCGCTCGCTTGCCTCGTTCATCATCAAATTATCAGTTCGCAACGAGTCGGCCAGAGATAGTCGTTCGCCTCTCGACGGATTGAGCGATATTTCAATCATTCGCGAGTCGTCAGATTTCTAAAAACGCGTAACACACATCGCGGAAAACACGAACAGAACGATTCGCGTAGTTGGCGCGAAATAAAAAACAGTCAACAATTAAAGATATTATTTACAGATGTAACGTGTTACCGGGGAGAGGAGGGCGGGGGTGAGAGTGAAAGGAGGCGAGCGCATAAAATTTCTAAAAATTATGCGCGACGAGGCAATCGCGCTGACGTGACGGCGGATCAGGCTCTCGGGGATTGGCAAACGGGAAATCTTGGCAGGTTCGCTGTTATCGCGTAATTCACGGCCGTCGCGCAATTCGGCAAGATTTTTTTTCTTCCTCGTATAGAAATAAATAGAAAAAAGAATCGCGGACGACTCGCGCGAAAGTGACGAACAATCGATTTCCTTGCCGGTAATGTACCGTTGTCTATTTCACTAGGATACATTCGAGAAACTTGCACGATGTAGCGGCGATCAACGCATTTCGCATTTTAAAAAGTAAAAACTATATAAATTCTAAGCTAAAACTAATTTACAATTGAACTAAAATTAAGATACATTCCTAAATTTAAAAGGAGATTCGATTTAAAAAAGTATAATTCATCATAATTTGATTATTAAAAAAAAGCAAAACGTAATGATTCCTTTTTCATTAAATATTTTTATATTAATGAATGTTTTTATACTTATTTATAATTGTAATGTAATGTAATGTAATGTAATGTAATTTTTATAATTTATGTTTAAATATTTTATGGAATCTTTTTCCAACAATGAGCAATTCTATCTCAAAAAAAATGAGATAAAGCAACTAGCTAAACAATTTAATTTAGGCAAAAGTCTAGTTAGGCAAAATAAATTACGCGCTGAAATAACGCCCATATGCCTATCACTTCGTGATAAGCATATGGGCGTTCACTATCGTTTTAATTCAGTTATATGTACAACTGAATTTAGAAACACAAATCAACTTAAATATTATTTATAGTAACGCATTCCTAAAGTCCTAAGCCTTAATCTATAATAGCAAATAATAATAAAATCAAAGCACAAAGAAGATCAAAAAAGAAAATATTATCCAACAAAATCTCTTCATTGTTCCATTAAGAAAGATTGAAATATCAATTCCAATCAAAAGCAAGTTAAAGCAAGTTCCTCGACTATCGTTAATTAATTATGACATATATTTAAAAAAAAAATTATGTCTTCTATGATTTTATTATCTATCAAGAATATGATCGTCACTTTTCGCTCGAGACACCGACAACGATTGTAAGTTAATTCAGCACAGACGTCGTTATATATACTTTACGTAACCGGTCGCAATATTTGGTATATGACGCGCTTTTGCAGCAGGAACTATTTCATAGCAATGATACGAAAGTTTTCTCGATCGCGTCGGCAAAATTTCTCGATGTCGTTTCGTTCGCGCAAAAAGATCCGACAAATTCTCGGTTCGGCAACGTTCTCCTCGAGATAATCGGCGAACGATGTATAAAGCAAGACGATGATCCTCGGTGTCGTCCGCGAATTTGCGACCGAATCTGAACGCGAACGAATGAACATCGTCGATTAACATCGAAAGGTAGGATGTACACTCGAGAATCTCATCATCAAGATTCACTTTTGACGATTTTACATTCATTTAACAAAATGTGTGATCGATAATTATTTTTAACGATTTATCGATAGTAAAATTATCAGGCAGACGAGACGTTCATTGAAAAAATCCAGTTTTTAAATTGCGTTCGCTGAGAGTTTCACGATCAAAGATAGTGATTTTGACAACAGAAATCTCACGTGTACATCCGACCCGACGGAAGAAAGATGAAACTAAAACAATGGCAAGCAGTAATTGATGCTGGTTAAGCGCGGATCGAGCAAAAGCTCGAATGTTCATCGAGGGCGTTCTCTCCCTGGGAGAGCTGCGAGTCGGTTGGTAAAAGTCAGTCTTGTGAAGGATAGTGTGAGAATCGCGCGTGTGTAAATCTATGTATATACCCCGCACACCTGCGATAAGGAGGGAGCCGCTCGATTAATTATCGCGATTAATTAACCCAATCGATTGCGAGGAACGTAAAACTGTTTCTTCCCGTCCACAGATGAACCTCTCGATTCTAGCTAGACGTGTCGTAGCGTCCGCATTCAAATCGATAGTCTCATTCCGAGGAGGAGTATATTAAAAATTCATATATTCTTTTAGATCCGCAAATACGCGAGTACGCACCGCGATAACTTTGGCCGCAACATCTTGGGAAGTTACGTCCAAGATTTATTGTATTCGCGTTCGCGGCGCAACTCGCGAATCATTGGACTTTATATGCGGTATATAAATATGTACGTCGTTCGTAACCAAATTTGCTAATCATCCGCGACCATCCGCCAGTCCTCGCGAGCAAAGGTAACAAATGAATCGTCGCTTAACATCAACACGTACCTCGTACAGCATCCAAACGGTATTCTACTTAATTCTAATCTGAACCGTTCTGTTGTAGCAACGTGGGCGCCGATTGTGTCGGTTGCGGCTGCATCGACGACGACGACGACGACTCCTGGTGATGATGATGATCGACTATAGGCGACGGTGTTTCGCTGGTCTGCGAACTCGTCAGATCACCGCCATTGCCATCTCCGCCACCTCCTAGACATCCACCCCCGTCGCCGCTCGAATTCGCGGACGATTCGAAGGTTTTCTGCTCGCTCGGAGGTAACAGATGCACCAGGGGATAGGGCGCGGCGGCATAATCGGCGGGGTAGAAGCCTTGCGTAATATTGCCGCCGATTAGGGAGCGATGAGAAGCGAAGCCGCTGTTGTCCGAATGCTGCAACGACAACGCGAGCGCGTGGCTTATCTGCGCCGACTGCTGGACGGGCTTGATGTTGTTGTTGTTCATAATCTCGGGAGTGTTGGCGCCGGTACAATTCCTACGCAATTGTTCCAGCTTGAGACTCTTCCCGTATTTGCCGCGCACGTACATCAGCAGGCTGTTGTAAGGAATGCCGAATAAGCGACTAGCTTGCGATGTGGTGAGCTTCTTTTCCCAGACATGTTGTAGAGCTAATGTAAGCTCGTTATTCGTCCATGATCTCGGCGGTCCACCTCGCGGCGCACTGTGTTGCCCCTTTGGCCTGTTTACCGCGAGCGCGCGGCTGTTGTGATCGTTCCACCTACGTGGCGTCCCGTCGCTATCGCTCCGATGTTTTTTCGTTTTTTTCGGAGGAGGACCAAGATTTGGCGCACCAAAGATGTTCTGCAGTGTCTCCTGCTTGAAATTATCCGTGAGAAACGAGTCCGGGAGAACTGCCCTGTCATACGTGGCGGTGTGAGAAAAAAGTCCGCCGCCGAGAGTCACGCCGTCCAGTGGCGTAAACATCGCCAAGGAACGTCGCGATACTATCGACGACTCTTGCTGTTGCTGTTGCTGATACGGATGGGACCTACCGGGCCCGTGCGGACTGTCTTCGCGCGTATGATGACTCTGTGGTGGAGGCGGCGGCAGTGGACTCTGCCCGGGCAGCCATTGGCTCGCCAGATGGCCGAGGCTTGTCAGGTACTCGGGGGGCTGCGTTTGCGTCAGAGACATCGACGGTATCACGGTGGCGACCGCCGCCGCTACGGCCGCCGGTATGTCTTGTATGGAACCGTCCGGATGCAGCAGACTCGTCCCCGTAAGCGGCGAACCGCGCGGACTACTCGTCGCTTCGCTGCCCTCTGTCTTGACGCGATGCTGATCCAGTCCGCTCGGCGATAAAGACTTTTTCATCGAGAGATTCTCCGCCATATCCTCTTGCTGCTGCTGATGCTGTTGATTCTGCTGAACGTTCATCATTTGTTGTTGATCGTTTCTGTTGATTATTTGTTGCTGAGGATACTGAGGCTGTTGTAATTGCAGATGCTGTTGCTGCTGCTGTGCCTGGTGCTGGTTCCCGCTGAGATTAAGAACGCTCGGCAATGGACTCAAACTGGCCGGCGGAGTCGAGCGTCTGCTCAGGTCCTGCGGCAGCAATTCGCCGGAACGTCGGCGCGGACGCGCCTGCTTTCGACGAGGCATCAGGGGCGAGCTACAGCTCTCACGGATGCCAAAGTTCATGTGGCCAATGAGCGGTTTGGTTGGATGGTCCCTCGTTTGTTGAAACAGCGTGGGCTTTATCTCCCTCGTGTTCTCCAACGCGTTGTCGTCCTCCTCCGGAGTACCGTGTCGCGCGTCCTCCGGTGTGGTAAACTCCAGAAGCGTCGACGAAGATGACGACGGTCTGGGTTCCTCCGACACCAGTCTAGGTTCCGACGACGATAGACCGCGCACTTGCAGGCATTCCGCGGCTCTCATCAAACCTGGCAATTCCTCCTGAGCGATCTTCACCTCGCCGCCATACATAAAGTCGATTATAGTGGACAATTCATGATTCGAAAAGTCCTTCAGAACAATCACGGGATGTTTACATGGATTCTCCGCGAATATCCTCTCGAAGAAAGGACTGCAACATAAAATCACTCCATGATTAGGAGGTTGTTTCGAAATGTTGCTGGTCGCGCAAGGAGACTACGTTCTTCTACAAAAGATCGATTTACGGTTAATTAAACGTTACGGCGCACAATCGCCCACGAAACTTTCGCATCGCGCTACTTACAACGTTACATGCATCGCATGGCGAAGAAACGTTGCGTGTCTTCGCTCAGTAAGATAGAACGGTCGGCCAGAAACCGCGGGCAAAAAGCCACCGCAAGGATTAGCGTTACTTCTCTGGATCGAGCGACAGCGAATCAATCAGATGGTACAAGACTTTCGCTCGTTGTCAACTTTACGTCACACGTCCCGGGCGCGAAGCGAGAAAGAGCATTGCGGTGTAACGTGTAGACGATGACGCGGCGCCGTCGTAAACCACGAAGGCAGGAACGATGAGGAGAAATTTTTTCACGAATGAGAGAAAGACTCGCTCGCGCAAAATACTATTTCCTCGCATTTTGAAATAATGCGACATTCTTTTAAGACATGTTGTTTGACACTTTTGTCAAGAACGATAAAACTCGCTCGGTTCGATCGTTTTCAGTCCAAGTACGTGGAACCGCTAGAGGAACAAATAATGTAGGAAGTTATTGTCACGAGATATACAGGCGAAGGCGGGTTAGTTAGAAAGCCTTAAATCATCGCCGTCAAGCTAATATATTTCTTATTCTTATATGCGCAATAGTAATACTTTTTTTCATTTAATGGCGTTTCACCTGCAGTGACATGAGTCACACTATCGGTTCCACAATCTTGGAGAATCTATTGTGTCAAAATTTTTCTTTTTTCTTTTAATACAACGGAAAAGCCTCACCGAACATGAAAATCGTTCTTCAATTGATTTTAATGTTTAATTAAGATCAAAATTTAATATACAATTTCTTATATTGATTTTTAAATTATTCTTACTTAAAAATAGTAAGTCTATATTAAATCAAGTTCGAATCAAGAATAGGGATTTTATACTATTTGTAGAATGTTTATTGTGAAAACTCATCATTATGATATAAATTATATTATAAAAATGTATATAAGAAAAAAAAATTGCAAAAATTAAATTTTGCATAAGCAAAAAATAAAGTAATGAGTATAATAGTGTGTCCAATTTGTATACAAAAATAAAAAAATTCGGAAGCAAATTATAAAAAAGTATATAGTTTAACCATTACAAAAGAATGAAGAAATACATTCGATTTCGATATAGCTCTCTCCTCTCTCTCAGCATGTTCCGTAAGCATTTTCACTTTTTTAAAATCTCTTTCGTTAAAGAGATACGAAATGTTACCATTATTAATAAAAGATTTTTTTCATTTGTTTATTTCATTCTATTTTTTGGCTGTGCAGTAGATACAAGAATTTTTAGCACTTTTTTACGAATATAAGAAACGCCTGCAATTACCGATCTGCAGATAAAATATACAATTTTTACCGCATGTAAATGTAACGTTGAAAATTTTGAATATAAATCTTTATCTCTATCATTTTTTTTTTTTGAAATATTTTATTGCAATTAAAAAATTTGTTTCATTCAGTAGGAAAAAATTTGTTTCAGACCAGTATGATGCGAAAGTCTATATGTCTTACGATTTTTTGGACACTCATATTCACAAGTTGTCGAATATACTATCATTTCATAAAATAATTCCATTTTTCTTTTATTATTGTCATAAAAAATATAACAAATTTCCTTATCGTAATTTTCAAATGTTGTTAACAATTGTTAATTTGAAAGATTATATAATTTATAATAGAATACAAGAAATTTGTAATTTTTCCCTTGGGTTAGAATAAAATTTGGTGTTAAAAAAATAAACTTTTGTGTCAGAAACAAAAATTTTGCCAAGAGAAAGAGAGGGGGGGGGGAGAGGAAAAGAATAAAAAATAAATGTCAAAAAAAGTAATCATTAAAAAAAATATTTTTTGGAAAATATTTTATACTTCTCTTCTCTACCTGCAGGCGCTGAGGACGACTTTGTGTGCCTTGACGCTGCTCTCGGCGCAGATCAGGGTCACGTCGACCAGATTTTCCTGATGTAGCAGTTCCTGAAAGAACTGTTGTATGTGGGCTTGATGATTGTTCCACCGTAAAGAGTAGAGGGATTGGACACCCATCCTGTCGGGACTATTCCCGACGCTCGACATTCTTCTTCCGCCGCTAGCGCCGGAAGCTGGTGACTTAGCAGAGCCGCCACCTTGCCCCGCCCCGTTTTCTCTCGTGCCGTATTTTCGTGGTCCTGCGTGGTCCTTCCTCTTCCATGCACGCACGTATGTGGCCACGCACGTATCAAGGTAACTCCCTCTTCGTTCTTCTCCCCCTCTTCGGCCGCGTCGTCGCTATTTTGCACCGTGCCGTTCTCCTAAAATCCGAGAATGCGGAATGACCGGTTAAAACGCGGCTCGCCACTAGCGGAGGGGTGGGAAAGGGGACCAAGTCTCCGAAACGGAGAGAAAGGGACAGCCGACGCGACGTTCCCAAAGGTCATGGCAGAGGGGTGGTTTCGCAGAGGTGCTCCCCTCGAGTTTTCCCGCCGCTTCGGAGTTTCGGAGGATCTACGATGGCGAGATGTGCGCTCGCGCCGATATCACAAGTCAAGCTATTAGAAAGTTTTTGCAATATCGTGCTTCGAGATAAACGTTAAGTCGCATGCGAATTTTTGTTTGCGTAAATCGACAGTTTACACTTTGGACCACACTTTCCACTTGTAACGCGCTTCTTTATTTATCCAACAGATTTCAACGAGACTAAACGACACTAAAATTTTAGGAGTCTCTCATCGATTATTCAATTTTTACAGATATCGTTGCACTTTTTTACGAAAATTATATATAAAAATATTTATGCTAGGTAAAGTAAAAATTATTTCTAAAATATTCCATTAAATAAAGATCGAATAAACTGTTGTTAAAAAAATTAATCCAATTTAAATTTCTATAGAATCTTACACAGATGTATATCTTTCAGGAAAGATTAACGTTTGTATTGGCAGTATATGATTTTACAAAAATTGTAAAATAAAATTGCATTATGCAACAGATTGGCTTATCACTCTGATAAATAATCATCAGTGTCGTTCCTAAGAACTGTTTACGCGTTAATTATTCATCTGGTCGAATGCGTGATATTATCGAATCGCATTTCAGGCGTGATTCACCCCCTTCCCCGAGTATTTAATAGCGACGGATTTGCTTCATCGACGATCGAGTGTTTGGCTATGAATAATTTTGCGCCTAATAAAAAGGGGTAACCTCTCGGAAAAAGGGAAAGACTGGCGGCCATACGATCAATTTCGCACGCTTCCTACGGTGCCGGCTTCAATTCGTTGCGAGGGAAATTTTCCAAATCGACATGCGAAATCTCATGAGCGAATTCGAGTTATATCAGTCGCATGGAGAGACACCCACGCGAACGAAATGGCAACGGAATAAATTCTACAATTCTCTTGGAGAGATTAATCAAATATATCGTACATCTCGTCTTTTTTTTTTATCATTCACTGACATTTTACCATCCAACTCTTGAAAAGTTATTAGAAGACACTTATCTGAGAGTAACTCGTCTTTATCAATCATCCGTTAAATTACAGCGATTCGTGAACTTGTCGAGGAAACGCATGTTACACCTACAAGCAAAGAGCTTTTGCGCGCCATTCCCTTTATTAACGTTACCGTATAAATAATGCACGATTTTAAATTAGGTCGATAGTGTATCCAATAACGTAAATTATACTTAACAAAATTACAAATGCATTTTTAATTAGCTCGTGTACATCCACTTCTTTCCCTCTCTACGTCAATAAAATACACTATTTAACATATAGGTAAGCGTACGCAATTCTAACACAATGGATGACCCTTGAGCCTCTGCACGTTGCTCTAGTCACCTGTACGCGACACAAATCAAAACGAATAATGTAACGTTGGCGCGCGTTCATGTGCGTTTATTTTATAATTAAAACATAATTAACGCAGAAAAGGTGGCATACATGCATAGACACACAATATGTTCTGAAACGAGCGCACGCACCTCTTCAACGTCACGTCATTCGCACATATGCGATTGCATCTTGTTAAACCGAAAAAAAATCAGTTACAATGCATTCGATAACGCACTCTATAATGATATTAATATTATACAATATTTACAATAACGATAAAAATAATAAAATTATTCGAAAAGAGAGAAATACAAGTATACACTACATGCGAAATGAGGGAATCCTCCCGCGTAATTTGCGCTCAAAAGAGATTCTTACGTGAAACGAATATCCGTGAATATAGTGTCGCAATGTTAGAAAATCTCGAAAAATGGAATCAATATTGAATAGAGGGATTTTACTCAAGTTTGTGTCAAAATCACTGTCAGTCATCGGCTTTAAATAAGCAATTAATAAAAGTGCGTTTCACGTCGCATCGCATAATTAACTGTTAACTGACAGCTCTCTTACAATAGTAAACAATCTCTCTGGTGGAAGAGACCGGGGTAGGCGAACACGACAAACAGCGAACCGCTACAGAGTACAAACGAAAACGACGAGTTTCAATGTGTCACGCGACAAAATCAAATAATCGAACTCGCTTTTCGATCCACTACCCTTTCACATACTTCGACGATAAGCGTAAAAGCAACATACGATCACATTTCGATCGCTTTGATGATAAATTGCGAAACTGGAGAACATTTCTCCCTGACTCTTTCTTTCTCTCACACTCGTTCTCTCTCTCTCTCTCTCTCTCTCTCTCTCTCTCTCTCTCTCTCTCTCTTTCTTTCTCTGGTTCGTTTCGTAAAACGTATCCCAGGGAACCGCCGAACCGGAATACGTCACTGTGCGCCGTCGAAAACTCCCCGCAAGTTTGTTGTCAAACTCGCACGTGTTCGGAAAAAGCGCGGATTTACATCGACCGGTACTCTCTCGCGATATCCTTTTTGCTCCTGCTTCATTTTTCGCTTTTATTTTTCACGTCCGCCGTTTCGAAGAGATGCGCGCAAACTATTAGTCAGTAACGGTACATCGCGTACTAAACTTCGTCGGACGTATAACGTGAAAAAGGGCAAAGATTAATGTCGATGCTCGCGATTCGCGCGATACGTAAACAATCACGACGCTAATCAAAGTTGGGGATTTTCAAATGAATGGAATAAATGAAATTGAAATGAAATATGCGCGACAATTCGCTGGTCGACTGACCGGATTCCCCACGTGCTTCAACTCTCAACTGGCTTAATCTCGATATCCAAAAGATGCGAGAAAATTAATTGCTGCATGGTATCATTATGATTTTTACATGAATCATTATCCGACTGTAATATTTGAGAAGTAACTTAATTTAAATGTCAGAAAAATTTTTATTACTGATAAATTAGAGAATGTATAAATTGTCTTCTAAAATACATGTAACGTTGGTTCTAACATGTAATAAGTACTTTTCCATATTTTTCTTCTACACGTTTTGTGAAATGTTTGAAACTTTTTCTTCATAATGTTTTTTTTATCATAGGTCTCTTTATATCCTCTATGTCGAAAAAAAGACGTGTGCTTCTTTTATAATTTTATAAACACATAATTAATATATAATTAATAATTTTAACATATCAAAAAATGTTAATCAGTTTTATTTTTGTAGAGACTAAAAATTTAATGTAAATATTCTAAATTTTTCTTTCGTTGAAAATAATATAGAATGTCTCACATAAATCGCGGACATAAATCCTGTATACAATTCCAACGTTTATTGAATGAGAAAAAACTGCGGCAGATAACTACGTAATCTATTTGTTAATGTTGCGTATATTAGTAGTCCGATTCCGCTTCTTTTTTATCAGAACTCGTGTACGATATACCGAGAAAAAGACTTGGAATAAACTTAAAAATTTACAGATGCACACAGTGTTATAAACGTCAATTTAAACTCGATTCGTAAAACTCGCAATCATAAATACCAGACATGCAATGAGGTTTAGAGATGATCATCACACAAATCTTCGGACAATGGATGCTGCTAGTTGAAGGTTAAAGCACCGGTCTCGCTTGAGTGATCTGATCGAGCTCTCACAGATCTACGATTGGATCTCACGAGTTCGATTCCTCCCCGTGTGTAGAACATAAATCCTCTTCGTTAGACAACTCGCCTCTCTTTCCAAATTAGAATTATTCGATTCAGTAATTGAATCTACGAAAAACCTCGTCCTTCCAAGATACCATGAGATTCATCGAAATCTTGAGACTCATCGAAATTATTCGGCTCGCATGTTCGCAGATTTCTTGCCACTAGAGAGAACTTTTCCGAGAGAGAATGCAATCTCAAAATCGGATACACATGGAAGAGCAATGCACAATCACACCTATGCGCTCGCGTTCTTATGATGCACTTGCGCCACTGACAATCTGAAGGCTCACTGCACGGAGGATCGAATCTTTTATCGGCACTCGGCTCACTTTATCGTCCTCGAAATCTCAAACGTTTTCGTAGAATACTCGACTGACAAAGGATCACGCACAAGGCGCCGATTTACGACGCAGGAATCTTGCGCGGGAAGACTGCGAATCTCCAGAGACACGGCGAAACATCTTCATTGTGTAAATGTGTGCGCCAGAGAAGAAGTCAAGACGAATGAATGAAAAGGAGAGAACAATAAACAAGGAAAAACAAAGAAAAACACACTTGTTTCTCTTACTCGCCTCAGTATTTATCTCGTTTACAACTATCTGTAATTAAACAAGGAATGAAGAAATCATTACGCGAGAAATGTGTAATAAAGACGAATAACAAAAAGATGTATAATCATTAAATAAAGTAATAATTAAATACATGCCAAAAGAAAATGATAAAAGTTTCAATCAAATAATACACGCGCAATTAAACCGATAGACAAAAAGATACACGTATAATTGCAAGGAGGTTTTTAAAAACGATAAAAAAATAAAAGAGGAACAATGTACGAGGGAAGCAGGGAGCGTGGCGCTCCTAAACGATCAGCTGATCCTCACTGTCACCCACCGTAGCTCGCGGCGAGGGAGAGATCACAAGAGCGCACGAGGAAACTACCGGCGGCGGCCGGCTCACGTGCCGAATTTTTCCAAAAGTATATCTCGGCACACGCACACACGTGTGTAACACATTGCGGGGCACCGCACAATCGCAAACAATCGCGAGCACCTGCGAGCGAGATCCCGCGCTATTTCTCGTCGCGTGTATCTCTGGTAAACACCGCGCGGCCGGGTAAACACTGGCTTTCACGAAGTCGTGGGACACCGGAGGGAATTGACGACGGAGGCTCGAGACGGTTGTCGCGTATCTCGCGCGGCAAGGGACGCACGGGGTGCGTCGACTGGCGGAAGTGGCACGCGTGTGTGCGCGC